ACGTCTGTACAGTAGAATGCAGAAGAAGACATTTCAACACACTTCAGCAATAAACAAAGATGTTTGTCTAGAGTAATTTTTGCTTATTAGTATGGTTGAACTGGATCATCGAAGGTCAGAAGCAAAGACATTGGTTAATAGAATGGGATTAAATACATAAAGCATATTTGTATTTTATTACTGTATTGTATTATTATAACATTTAATTATTGCAGGTTTGCGTCATATTCTGAGTTGCATTATTTTTATTCATTTTGAGGAATACTGAATCAGTTTTTTTTTGTGAGTTAGATGAGTTAATGCATATTCATATTTATTTTAGAACTATACAGTAACATCTGATTTCTCTCAACATGGGGACAGGAGAAAAAGAAAACTTGCGTTACTTATTTGAAAAAGTAACTCAGATATTCTCTTGTAAATTAAAAAGTAATGCGTTACTTTACTAGTTACTTGAAAAAAGTAATCTGATTACGTAACTTGCGTTACTTGTAATGCATTACCCCCAACACTGATTATGACAAATGTTTTTATTTTTTTATTTTTTTTTAGTTTAAGACCAAATTATGGCTAAATACTTTATTTTACATTATGTGTACTTACCCAAGAAAGTACTGGTAGTATAAGGTAACTACGTGGATTAAGGTTAGGTTTAGCGGTTGGTTCATGGTTAGTTATTACCAGTTATTGTAATTACTATAATAAGTACATAGTATGTACATGTGGAACCTGACTGTAAAATAAAGTGCTACCCAAATTATTTCATTTACATTACACTATTTAGACATTTTGAGCACCTAACTCCACATCTACCCCGAAACATAACCATCTCTCAATATAAACACAGTATATGACCAGAGTATATTCACAAACATTTGTTCAAAAATTATTATTAATATTCCAAGTCTTCCAAGGCCAAATGATTGCTTTGTGTGAGGAACAGACCCAGAGCTGATCACTGTCTCCATTCGCCATAAAGCTCACGCACAAAAACTGCCACCGGAAGAAGCGTTACATCAGCTTTGATGTGAAATGCCATTGTTTCTCATGTGTTTTGAGACCGAGTGCAACATGCTAAAATTCAGTTTATGTTTTGAATGAGATGTGACTTGAGTGCAAAGATTTTCAGCGATTAATGCCTTAAAGTCCCCATGAAATCAAAATTAAAGTTTTTTGGGTGTTAGTATCAATATGTTAGTCTTAAGGTTATCTATAAGGCAGTGTGCTCCAAAACAGTGACACAATTCGCATTTAGAAGATATAAGCATTCAAAGCTTGCAGTTCGTCACTTCCACCAAAACGGCTCAACGATTTTTTTGACGTCACATCGTACTTCAGCTTCTCATCAAACTTTCTGTCCAATCAAATGCTCTCTAGAATCCGAAGCCCCGCCCCCTACACTATAAAATAGACGCTGAAGCCACGGCTGAAATCGGTCACTTGTCCACAGAGTTAGTATTTTCTGTACAGTGAATGGCACGTAGTGCACTATATAGGGGACAGGGAGCGATTCAAACAGTGTAAATATGCTTTCCATTGAGGAAAAAAAGGAGTCTGGTTTGGCGCTGTCACGCTAACCACTGCACCGCACACACACTCTGCTCCGGTCCAGAGACACGATAGCACGGAGCGGATCACATGCGCGAGTCGGCGCAGACCACAAAATGTATCGGAGCTATTTGAATTCTACACAGAATGCTATATTTTATAGCAATATGGATGAGATTGTGGCTGGCATACCCTGTCAAATGCGGCTTTACGGAGCTCAACGGCTCTGAACGGCTCTAGCCCAAGCTGTGATATAAACGAACGCTATTGGCTATTTTAAAAAGGGGCGGGGCTGCTTGATATGTCCCGCCCTATCTTCCTGTTTCAGTTAAAATGACGTCAACACACAGAGTAACGCTGCGTGTTTCTAAGCATTTCAGGAGACCTTTAAGTTTAACTCTGTCCCTCACATAAATACATTGTATATGGCTTCAGAAGACTTGAAAAACACAAAAACTAATTTGTAGTATTTTATTATTATTATTATTTAATTTAATTTTTTTACTGTGACTGTGCTTTTATCTGCCTGTTATGTGTTTTATATAGTGGTTAGGTTTAGGGTAGGGGTGGGGTTACATGCTCAAACATATCTATCAACGTATAAATACATATAAAATAATATAAGAATAATTTCTGCTTTTACAGATGTATGCAACGTTTTAAATGCATAATCCATTTGGGTCCTACTTTATATTAGGTGTCTTTAAATAATATGTACCTACTTACCACCAAAAAGGATTTATTGTTACAATTTATTTGATTTATTGGTACAATGTACTTATTGTGTTCATGTCTGTATAGCAAAACACATTTGCTGCTATTGAGGTGGGATGCGGTTAAGGTTAGGGACAGGTTTGGTGGGAGAGTTAGATTTTTAGATTAATTATACATGTCTCTACATACATTTTTTTTTTAAATATATAAAAATGTATGTATATAATAAGTACATTGTATCTATTAATATTTTTTGCATCTCTTGTACATTTTTTTTTTTTTTGTAAGTTTTTGGCGTTTTGTGTGAGAACAGGTTGGTATTCAGGCTACTAACTTTTAGCAAAGAGTCTGGTCCACAAAGTTTATTCTGCCCAAGCATTGCATGCTTACACTGAACGAGAATGACAGACTACAGTTTGCTTGTTTATTGTCTAACGTTTAGGAGGTAAATCTGACATTGACAGCACATACACATATTCTGTATTTTTGTACAGAAACATTGCATTCATTAACAGAAAATGCATGTTCAACAGAATGTTCAACTCTCCAATAACACATTATTTCACACATATAACACAAAAGATCAAAGCAGATGATAGAGTAAGACTGGAAGATGTCTAGTTGAGCTGCTGCTAACTGCCTCAGACAAAGCATTTATCTTCCAGATTCAATGCTATGAACCTCTCAATCTTTGGTCAATTCAGCAAATATATTTTTTCCACAAGTATTTCTCCTTATCTTGTAGAATCTGATAACACTACTTCAAACAGTCTGTGCCGTCTGCATGCAGTCTAAGGCTGAGACTAAGATTCAACTCCATTCTTTCTTTCTTTCTCGATATAGGCGCTTTACACATCTTGAAGCATTGCTCATTTTCATACTGATTTTGTTTGAAAAAGCCAGCAGTTAAGGAATCTCTTGGCTTCCTCAATGAAAAAGAGTAAACAAAAATGAAGTCATTCCTTTGTGTTATGTACTGTAAATATCTCTTGTATAGGATTGTTAAAAATGCTCTTTGTATTCAGAAGAAGAGAGTAGCTCTGTGTTTACATATGAAATGAATTGAAACAGTGAATTATTGAGACGGTGGAGGGGCTCGTGGTGCAGAACCAATATCGTAATCTTATAATGAAACATGATGAAATCCATCTAAAAGAGGCGGCCAGAGCTCAGCATCCTCCACCGGTGAGAAGGGCATATTAATATAGTTTAGCTTTACAATGCTTGAAGAAATATAAAAGCACAATACTGTCCAGATTTACCTAAGGAAGGTATAT